CAAGCGAAAGACGCTCATGGGATCTGACCTGGAAGTTGGATGGGTGCAGGTGCAGCAGCCACATGGCAGAGGACTTGAGCTCAGCCTCCTCACGATCCTCTCAGAACATTTACTGATGTGTTAGATGTTCCTCTCATACTCCAACATGTTTATATATTTATTTTTTCACAGGAGAAGAAACCAAGCCCATACAAAAACAACTTGCTTAAATTGCCCAGTCACTGTCTGGCAAGGCTTCCCAATCCTTTGGCCACTGTTTTTGGTCAGATCTTTTCCTAACTGACTTACACAAACTTTTTGAAAAGTGGTCGTGTGTATTTGTAAAGCAGCCTTACCCCGATAAGTAAAGGTAGAAAGCAGCCTGCTTTTGGGGGGCAGTGTGGTTTTGATGGACTTGAGCAGCAATCTGAGCAAATGGAAGAACTGTCTAAAGAGCCTGTGTAAATTGTCATGTAAAGGTCTTCAGGAGGATGTGACATGTGAAACCCAAGTAATGGCCATGCACACATTTGGTCAGCTGCAGATTGTTAGATCCTTGCAAAAATTAACAGGGCACAAAGTGCAGACTGCTGTACTTCACTGCGCAGAATGAAGTTAAGCAACAGCTAAAGCTGGGGAGCGGAGGAGCGAGAAGGAGCAGGAAGAAGCAGACGAAAGGCAACATAAGAATTACATTTATTTTTTAATCCCATCTCTTTCAGTGTCTGTGATGAGCGCTGTAACTAAAGGAATCTAACTCAATTAGAATTTCAATGTGTCCTGAGCAGATTGTAGCCATTTCCATTCATGAGCAGCAGTAATTGCCTGCTTGCTTATCCACACAGCTCTTTACAGCTAATCCAAATGTGGACTCAAAAATAAATAATGCCAGAGCATTCACTTTCCCCTGGGCAGTAGTTTTAGCGTCGCCTCTGCCATCGCTTTGTTCCACTTGGTGCTCTCGATAGCATAGGAGCTGACTCAAGGCAGATAAAAGATGATTGACCCTCTCAAAGAATTAGGTGGAGGGTGAGGAGAGGAAACCACTCCTGCTGTATCTGCCCTGGCTGTTGGAGCCTTTCCTCTTGGTGATTATCTCATTGCCCCGTTCTCCCCTCACTGCTCTCCCCAGCTCCATCTCTCTGTCATCTGCCTCTCCTCTGACACTTCCTCAAGGGACCTCGATGCTGTCCACTTCCCACACAGCTCAGAATAAATCTTCCCCCTCTGCTCCCAGCCCTGTTTTGCTGAAATTAAGCACTCTCTTCAGAGACCTGTAAAAGCCAGGAGCTCACGGAGATGGTGTCCTTTTTAGAAATGTATGAAACTTAGGCAGGGCTCTGCCTTTGCTCTCTGGCATTGGGAACTGTGTCTCTTGGCTCTTCTCCATCCTTCCTGGTTGTAAGGAAAATTGTCCATCTTTAGGCTATTTTCACCACTATGTCCAGTGTTGGATACTTATTCTTCTCCTTCTGAGGAAATGGACTGGAGCACTGACTTTCCAAGATAGCTTTCCCACAGACCTCCTGGGAGACTTTGGCCTAGTCACTCGGCACCCTCTGTGCCTCTGCTCATCGTGGGTACAAAGGCAGATTTGTTGCTTTACAGTTTACCCTGCAATACCAGGGCAAACTGAGATGACAGCAGTGCAGGGACACTCAGTCATTAAGAGGAACCAGTCATATGTAGAGTCAGATGATCCTTAACTCCAGCATATTCACAGATGTCCAGCTCTTGCTATGCCCCTCGTTATTTTTTATAGTTTTATGTCTTAGTGTCCGAAAGAAACTGAGTTTTCCCTAAGATCAGGTGAAGTCTATACCCCAAGAAGTGTGCCTGGGGTAAAGGCTGTTCCCTCTTCACAACCATCAAAGAGACCAACTTCAGTGCAGAGCTGGAGCTGGAAACATCTCCCAGCACCTAGAAGAGCAAGGCTGCAATGAACCTCCACTCCGTTTCCCTTCCCTTGTCCTCTCCCTCCTCCTCACTGGGTTAAGCACAGCATGATCAGGTGAGGCAGACCACCTTTTCTGTCACCCATCTGCTCTTAGCCAGCTGATCTGCTCCGAGGCAGCACAGCTTTTTTGGTGCAGTGCAGTGCCTAAGGTAATATATCCCCCAGCGATTAAGGAGATGTATGCTAAGATTTAAAGGAACCTCACTAGGTAGCACAGCACTTTCATTGCCTTCATTCTCCCCACTGGCGTCTTTCCTTATCCCTAGGGTCTTTGGCAGAGCAGTTCTCCCCATAAGCCTCTCCCAGCCAGACTGCCTTGGAGCACGTTGCAGCGGGGTGACCCAGCGCCTGCCACCAATTCCCCCCTCCCAAAGTCAGCCCTTTTAACTAGCAGCCTGTGCCCTTCCCTGAACCCAGAGAGCAGTTGAGATGATGAATATAGTGCTTGTCCAACATCTCACTTGCTCCGTAATTTCAAATTCATTTACAACTGACAAAGCACAGAAAGCTAAAAATGTCTGCAGAGTCCTGATGGGCAGAGGGGACAATTATCCCCAGCTGTTCCTCAGGAATGCTGATCCCCGGCAACTGCAATGTGCCCAGGGAGCCGTTGCCTCGTGCTTGGACTGCAAACTCACCAGCACCAAAATGGGATGAAGGCAAGAAGGGTTGGCTCGTTATTAGATGTTCTGCTACCTGGAGCTTCTTCAACTTGAAACCTGGATGGAGAGCTCAGCTCTGAGCTCAGGGGACACTTAGAAGCAGGGCCAGAAATAGAACTGAATTCATTAAAGCAGCATCATTAACCATCAGTCCTCCAAAGCTCTTGTCAGTAAGTTAACACCAGTTCCCCATTGTCCAGTTTTTCCTTGCCATAATGAAGAACCCCAAATTCAAGGTTATCTGTCGGGTGGATTAGTCAGTTAGCATAGTTGGAGCTCCAGAGATTCTTGAAAGAGAGCAGTTATTTATGCTGCTCCCTGTCCCACAATGTGCCCATTAGCTCGCATTACAGCAAGGTCCAGTCACGAGGCAGAAATACACCATCTGATATTGCCACCGGTGCTTGACGATTTAGTGTTGCTGCTGCCAGGGCGTTAAATGTTCCCTAAGTGGTAGCTGTCCTCTACTAATGCAGATGCATTTCTTTTACGAGTTAGTTTATTGCCTTCCTTCTTAGTCCATGTTGGTTGTTCTGCTGTTTCCCAGCACCCCTGATTAGCAGTGGTGCTTATTTACTGTTATGGCCACAGATAGGTAGAATTAAGGCCAGCAAATATTGTGTTCAGATGGATACCTGCAGAGAAAACAGCTATTTTGACAGCAGAAGAAATACTCCCCTCTGAATTGGATCAGAGGAGGGGAATAGACAATCAGGCACTCGCTTGGTTGCTCTTTTGCATCTTCAGGGCACCACTAGTTAATGAGTCCGACCCTGGTTCACGCATGCAGCAACGTTGGTGTCACACCAGACCTTCTTCTACCCAGCCAGGGACTGCTCCCATCCTTCATATAGTTCTATAGTTCAGCAAAGTTATTGGAAAACACCTAGACTTTACTGTGGATAATACTTATCAGGGCATGAGGTCTAGCTTTCTGTTTCAGGAAACTCACCTCAGACTACACCACCTTCCCCTCCAGGCAGCATTTGATGCCTGATTTCAGTCCCTTCCTTTCTTCACCACACTATTGACCAGGTCCATCCTAAAAGCAGACCATCTGGCCATGAAAACCATCAAAGAAGCTCAGAAATCTCTTAGCACTCAACAGCCTACAGATGGATGGTAACCTGCCTATAGGACTATTCCCTCCAGGCTCCTAATAGTCAAAAACTGTCTTGCAGCATCCTGTCCACACTGTTTTTTAGGATATATAGTGTGAATTCAGGTACTCATTCTGTTCAGATAATAGCAGAATCCACTTTTACTTTAAAGACCAGGCTGACATTCCATAGTATAATGAGTTTCACACCCTTATGACTTGTTGCATGAAAAAAGTAGCATGGCAGCAGCTCACTGAGAGGCACTGGGTTAAAAGAAAGTTGTATTACTTGTTTCCAAAAAAAGATATAGGATGTAGAGAGGGAAAGGGATTCACAGCCGTATGTGGAAATTAACTTCAGATAAGAGAAACGCACCTAAGTTTGTTAACTAACTCCTAAAGCAGCATACAGTCTTGGAGGCCGTAGCCATTCTACACTAAGAGCCCTCCTAGGCCTTCAAAAAAGGGTCTTAGAAAGTCCATATCTTTGCTCCTACACTGACAGCTACTCCCCTCATCAAAAGGAGACAGAGACTTGAGTCGTCTAAATCTGTTTTCTGGCATGACTGCTGTGATGTCACCAGTGTTATAATTTTACACAAGATTAGGTGTGTAACCGCGTGCTGAACAGTGACTGTTAGCTTAGATTGCCCAGCTAACGAAGCAGGCAGCATTAATGACATCACATATGGACTGCTCCAAGGCATTGGCACTATGAGAGAGACTGAAACCACTCTAACTTTTGGGAGAAGGAAGTTTTTTCTCCTTTTCTTCCTCCTGCACCCTGTTGCTGGGACAGAACCTCTCCGGCCCTGGTGCTGCCCCTCTGGTGCTTCAGGGATTTGCTCTGGAGCTCGTAGCTCTGCACTGGAGACTCAAACAGGCAGCAGATGCTGCTGGGCACTCTAATGTGTGCTCAGGTTTACAAACCTTTTCAGGCAAAGGGTGCTGAGGGCTTCATGTGCAGTGACCACTTTCCACCCCATCATACTACCATTACAGTTGGATGTGCCTATTATCTTTCCTTAAATTACCAATCATCTTTCATTGACAATGCAGATCTTTTGCAATACTGAGCATATCTAAGCCAAATAAGCTAGGATCAGATCTTATCAGAGCAACTAAGATCTACCATTCCTTCTCTCAGTCATCTTTATTGCTTTACATGTCACCCTGAGTTAATAAATGGTCCATCCTCAGAGCTCACCAGGAACGGCCACAGGTGACTTCACACGATGGACATAATGTCATCTGTTGCTGCATTTGCACTGTGCAGTGACAGAGATTATCCCTCTTCCCCCAGGTCCTTCCATCGTCCCACTGCAGCGAACAAACCCAACACTGGGCAACCCTCTAAGATGTTTATTTGGACCAGTGGCCGGAGCTCTACATCTTACAGACATGATGAGAAAAGGTAAATGGCATTGCAGCTGATTGTCTCCTATGGGTTTTAGGTTTTGGTGGGTGTGACCTCCAGTCTCCCTTCCCTGGTAGCACTGGGAGAGGGACACAAGGCGTGTCCCCTCCTGGCCTGTCCTCTCTGATACTGCTCCACTGAGAACAGGACCAGCTGGTAATGTCAGGGCTAACATGCCAAGCCAATGAAGAGTGGAGGGATGATGCTAGAGGTCAACATCTTCCTTGCCCCCAGGTCAGCGGCACGCAGGGAGCAGCTCTGAGGCTGGCACACGCTACACGTTGCCCAGCAAACTAACCCACGACTTTGAGAGTGCAGCCCCCAGCCCAGCAGGGACCTCATGCCTTCTGCAGGCGCCACTTCCAGGCACGGGCAGCCCCCCACGCTCACCCCTTCGGAAGCTCTCGCGCTCGGTACGACGTTCATGCCCCTGGATGATGCACCCGGCTGCTGGAGCTGTTTCCTGCCTCTGCGCGAGTGTGTGTGAGTGTGCGTGCGTGCATTGCATCCTGCAGCAGCTGATGACAAGCAGCATGAGAGCGAGCTGGTTACTGTGAGGCTGCCAGCCCGCTTCAGTGGCGTTGCTGGAGTGAAAAAGCCAGAGGAGACCAAGAAATAATGTGAATCACTGGATCTCCCAAGGCACCAAGGAGTCACACAGGAAAGAAGGAAAGGGGAGGAATGGTTGTAAGTCCACAGACAAGGACAGGACTTAGATGGGAATGAGTGAAGTTAAATATCACTGATGAAAGAACAATTGCCTGTAATACCCACACTCATCCGTCCAAAATCTATCTCCTTTGTAGTGAGACTTGCTGGACAGCTTGTCTTCTCACAACTGGACACATTTCTCTTTCTTTTCTTCTCCTTCCTCTTACTCCTCCTTGTCTCCTCTCCTTCACATCCCCTTCCAGTCACTCTTAAACGTGACTGGAACACCTACAGGGGTTGGACTAGACGATCTCTAAAGGTCCCTTCCAACCTTAACCTATGATTTTATGATTCTATGATTCTAATCACCAAAAATCAGACTCCAGTGAAACAAAAACAGAGGTCAATGCATCTACAGTGCCAATTAGCAAAACACACTCCTCAGTCACTCTAATGAGACATTACTGCTGGCATCTGCTGGGGAAAATGAGCTGGTGAGTTCAGGCACTGGAGCTGCCCTGAGGATGCTGAGTTTCTTTGGAGAATTGATTCATTTGCTGAACTCTTCTACAAGAGGCTACAAAGGTGTTTCACTCTTTTGGTAATCTGACCCCAAACAGATATTTTAAAGAACAAAGACAGCTTGGCAGCAGGTTTCCATGGTCTTTCAGCTGGGATTGGTTATCCATCTGCCTCTTGTACCTCTGCAAGCCTCCTCTTTAGTTAAAGTTTTCCCCAGGCAAATGTTCTTCTCCACTAATACACTGTCATGGATCAGATGGTCCAAGCTTAAGAATGGTTGAGGTTGGAAGGGACCTCTAGAGATTGTCTAGTCCAACCGTCCTGCAGGATATACCTGTCCACATGTTGAGCTGGCTGGGAGCCACGTGCCCTTGATTTTCATGGCCTTAAGTTCATACCATGTCTTTGAACAGGACTTGTTAGTTTGGGCTCAGCACTGTGCTAAGTAGGACTCACTGGCTTCTGGTCAGCTTAAACCTTGAGCAGAGCTTGTCCTTGCCTGCCAGCCGAAATAGAGAAGTAGGGAGCAGTACCTTAGTACTCACTCAACAGCCTGGTAATTTCAGGTGCTTTTTCAAGCAATTGCTTGGGTTTATTTGCTGGGCCACTCTGCAGAACCATGCAGGAGGCTCATTGATACATTGTGAAGGACAAATAAAATGCAGGAGCAAATAGGAGGAATAGAATATGGAAATAGGAACGTGCTGACGGCAGCCCAAGGGCTGCAAAGAAGAGGTGTTAACACAGAACAAGTGCTGCTGGCGGGAGGAACTCATCTGCTAGCAGTTGGCAGTGGTTTAACACATGTAAGGTCACCAACATAATCACCATGTCTAACAGGCAGTGCATTTTAGAGAAATAACTTCCCCTAGATGACCCTTCCCTAGGAAGTGCTGTTGTTTAATCTTCAGGCGGGAAGACTATTCCTGACTCCTCTCCTAACACATCCCACAGCTGCAGACTATTGAAGGGTCGCACTGGAATAACACCAACCGAAATGTCACTTGTGTGGAGTTATCACCTCCTCCAGGGCAGAAGGTGATTCACAGGCAGGTGCTTTTGCAGGACTGAGGCCAAAGCCATGCATTTCATGGGCTTCTTTTTCAGACATGTGCTGCTCCCCAGCTGCCACTTTCTAGGTTTTGGAAACCTAGTCCAGCCACTTTACTTTCTCAGCTGTCAGTTATGTTTTTCACAATGTTGCAGGCTTGGAAAGCTAAAGCACTGGGTTGGTTTGATTCACTTCAGCCCAGTTTGTTGGGAAAAAGACAAGGAATCAAGTGAACTCATTTTTCCTCATCTCTTCTTATTGATAGGAATCCTGCTATAACATCACTGAGATTTATATCACAGTTCTAGAAGTTTTCTTGTTATTATAGATCTAATGACAAAAATCGATGCAACTAAAAATACCCTCTTAAAAAACATATATATATACAGAAATTCCTTGGACATGGGGAGTTTTGCAGGTAATTTCCAGGATTTTCTGACCTTTGCTTTCAAAGATTCTGATATCAGCAGACAACTAGCAAAAACTCGATTTCTTTTGCGATGTTCCTAGATCCACCCATTTTGGAGTGGAACAGGAACTGTTGTATGGGTCAGAAGAAACATTATTTAGCTCCTCCTCTCTACATGACAGTTCTTGATTCTAAAGGCTTGACATATAGGACCATTCCTAACATATGTCTATAAATTTGTCACATCCTTGGCATTGGGGAGCTGTCCAACCCCATGCTGGCAGACCACAGAGTGCATAGGATGCATGTGACAAATCTCTTCCTGCATAAAACCCAATACTAAGAGGACACATCCTTCATGATAGCAAAGAAACAGATTCTTTACTGCAGCAAATACATCTAGGTTTCTTTACTAAGTCTCCAAAGAGCACTGACCTTGACTGTCTAATATTCAAGCTGACTAAACATATTTTGGGCTGCTTAACTCCATCACACAGGTCCTCCCTACACTTTCATCTGCAGATCACATAAGTGACTCCATTGCAGAGGGATCCCTGCACAGCTGTTGTGTAGAGAGAGGCAGAGAGGGGAATTTCTGCTCTGTCCTAAGGCACAGTCCTGGCCAAGATTTCCTCTCCGTGCAGCTGTGCAGGTAAAGCAGCCAACCCATATCCTGCAAGTAACCTGGCAAAAGGAAGCCAGAGAAAAAGTTTAGAAAAGAGCAGGAGCACAAAGACCTCTTTGTCCTTAGAGGCTTGATTTCTGGCCCCTAGGACTTCTTCAAAAACAAACCATGTCACATTTGGGGAGTGATCATCTGTAGTCACAATTACTAGGCAGAGTTGCTGAGATGAGTAACGTCGGGATGCAGTGATCTGTGCTCATGCACGTAGCAGCAGCCAGCTAATTGTGGCTGTGCAGCACTGGGACCTAAAATCAGCTGGCTAAGCACAGTGCTCTTACAGCCCAGTGAGCAGCAAGAAATCCCTTAGCTGGGCCAAAAGTTTATAGGTGTGCGAATCCCGCCCCACAGAGCGGCCGCCCTTTTCACAGACCCACATTGCAGGTCGTAGGGAAGACAAACGTTCTCCTAAAATGACTTTGCCACTCCAGCTAAGGTGATGCTGAGTTGTAAGATATGTGACACGAAGGTGCACACGTGCTGCATGGTGTGCCCAAGGCTAGAGCTCCCTGGGGCACAGCATGAAGATGGGAAATGGCAGAAGCTCTTGGTCTCAGCAGCAATAGGCTGTCACCTCCCACAGGGAGGACACGGCGTGGGGAGGATGAGGGACTTTACTCAGCCTGTCTCCAGGGGCTGCTTCGAGGCTGGTGTGTCACAGGCCAGCACGTGCCCATGCCACCACACAGCTCCACACATGTCACCAGATCAGCTTCTTGCAGGGATTCAGCGGGAAGGCCCTTGCCAGAATGCCCAAGAATGCCACTGTGCTGCCGTTTAGGTCTTTCATTAACAAATACCAGCAACACAACTACCAAACAACTGCTGCTAGCATGATCCCATAGGCAGAGCTTGATTTAGCTTTATTTACCATTGCCGGAGCGCCCGTGGGACCCCCTCAACACACTGTCTGTGCACTTTTGTTTGCCAGTCTCCCTGGCAGATAGATCTACAACATACTCTGTGCTCCATCTCTTTTACCTTCACTGCACGTTCCTTGGCTCAAGGCCATATAGGAGGTACCTGTAACTACTCTCAATTAGCTATTTGTTTTTAAATTGTCCGTTTGTATCACTTTTACGTTCTAGCTGCTCTGGTGACATTAATGACTGATTGCACCGTGTCTGTTTTATGTCTGCACGCTGACAGAAGTTATGCTGTGTGATCGGTTAATGTTCTGGAACTGCGTGACAATTTCTGCCTTCCTGCCTGCTTCCATTTGGGAGCAATGCAAATTGAAACAGCAGCTCTCAGAGTTAAATACAGTTTGATAAATAGTAATAGAAAACTAACATTAGATTATTATTCTACATCACTCAAAGGCAATGGAATCCACCAGTTTACAATATATTTTTCTACCCAGCACCAAGGAAAATTTCAGCAGCCTGAATTACCCTTTTGTTTCTAGCTAGGAAAATATAGACAAGCTTTAATGGATGATTTTGAAGAGAAATCATGAATATCTCAGTATACCACTGTAGATTGAAGAAACTTCAGTGTTTCTTAGTTATGGGAGACTATCTGCTTTAGTATCATCTAGGATATTTTTTCTGCTATAAAACCCCACACCATATGTGCTTTTCCTGGCTATGACTCATTCATCTAAACCCAAACTCAATTTAGGTTTCAAGGATTTCATTTCTTTCTCGTGTTAATTTATGGTTTTACATCTCTCTCAATGCTGACCATATCTTTATCCTTGTTGGTGAATGCAAGCTATGCGCTTGGTCTATCACACACTGCTTTTTACAAGGACGAGTGAAACTTGGCGTTCTCAGCTTAAATGAGTGGCGGGTTTGCTGGAACCCAAAGTGATGTTGATGTTGCTCACCTGCCGTTTTGCAGACAGTAGAAGAGGAACTTCCTCCACGTGTACTGCTATGACCATGTTATGGTGGTGCCAGGGCTCAGATGTGCGGTTCACACTCATCGGGTGCTGTCTGGATCATTCAAAAGAACCGTAACAGAAAACACAGGAGATTTTGACCAGCCTCAGGTCTGTAAGTACATTTTAAACCCACAAAGTTTGAGTGTGTTTGAAATGTACTCAAATATTTCCTTCTTCACCATTGTGTCCTCATGACCCATTGAATCATCAAAGACTTGGAGATGAAAGAAAGACTTATGGTTAGAAAACGGAAAGGACTCTCTGCTGAAGGGGAATGGTTTGTTGTTTCTTCTTTTTAAAATCCCGGAACAAATTGCTTTGGTGGATAATTTTCTGTGAGGGTTTTCACTGCGATGCACAAATGGGTTTCCAAAAAGCGACTTTTTAATACAGTAAATAAGCTTCCAATCAAAAACCTACAGAAATCAATTGTAAAATCCCCCTTGTCTTTCATGAACTTGAATCAGGCTCAGGGTGGAAAATTATCCAAATCACCAACCTGTAGGGAATCGAGAAAGAATGTGGTCCTTTCAGATAATTTTTGTCACTTGTTCAGGCTTTTTCTACATTAACTATTGCCAAGTCTTACCTTGAGTATAAAAATCTTACACTAGAATAAGTCTGTCTTCCATATTCAGCTTAAAGAAAGACACCTCTTTTATCTAAAAATATTCTAGTGGCATAAGCTAGAATTGACAGGTCAAATTCATCTATGATATAATTCTACCGAGCCAAAGAAGCTGCACCAAAGAAGGATTTACTGAGCTGGCACAAGTGTCTAATGTTTATATTTGCAATAAGAAGTTTTTACCTTTTCAGAAATGGCTGTAATTTATTTTGGAGATGAGTAAATTTCCACCAGGTCAGAGTGAATCCGTTGAAAAAGGACAGCTGAGGACCCTTAAGCCTTTCTCTCCCACGAGATGGGTATGGAGGTGGAACTACCCACCCTTTAGAGGGTTCATTGATTAAATATGTACTTCACATAAGAATGTATTATTTTCAACCTCAGAAATATTTACCAAAAAATCAGGGATCACGATCTACTGGACAAAAGGAAAACAGTCACAGCCTTAAAAGCCGGAGAGGACCGGGCCATACTCCTCGGGCTGGCCATGATGGTGTGCTCAATCATGATGTACTTTCTCCTGGGAATCACCCTGCTGCGATCTTACATGCAAAGGTAATTTCATCGCGGTCGCTCTCACCTCAGACTATCTGCTCCAGCTGACTTCTTCTGCCTATTCCTTTTGCTCTTTCCATTTTTAAAGTTTGCTATAGTTTAATACAAGCTTAATTACAGCACAGGGGTGGCAAAAAGCTTTGAATCCTTCCTATCACGGAGCTTATGTTGCTATAAGCTCCTGGTTCAGCTGGTGTGCTGGACTCGTAAGCCCCTTGGGTTTTGGAGTTTGGCTGTTGCTGTGAAGCCCAAGCAAACTCAGGAGACCAGCAGAAATATTTAGCAGCCTAGAGAATCAATGTGCTTTCAAATGAAAAATGGAGATTCAATATTGGAAAGAATTCAATCTGCTTTCTAGCATGTAGCTTTCCATGTGGGTTAATAGGTTCATTCTAGCAAGTGAAATCCTACAGAAATAAAGTCATTTGCTGAAAGTGAAAGATCATCTTTCATTATTATTGTGCTGCACTTAATTTTTCTAAGCTCCTCTCCAGCTTGTCTATTAAGGAGCAGAAAGTTTGGCTGGTTACTCATTAGCAGTATTCGAAAGCAGCTTTCAAACACCAACCCTATTTAAAATCCACCCCAGACTGTAATAAGATTGTACACAAGGTTTTTTTCTGCCCTGGTCAATCTATCAGTAAAGCTAAGAGAATGAAAAATGTGCAATTGTGAATCAAAATATTAGTCATGTTCCAGATCATACTCTGGCAGTGGTCCAAATCTGGCATGCTTTGGTTCATCCACCTTATCTTCTTATGAAAATATATATGTCAAGTGCCTGAAATTAAGTAGTATGAATATTCTCAACTGTGTCATTGGTTCAGGAAAATAGTCTTTCTTGACCCTGAAATGAACAGGAAAGGCCATGCATGAGGATCATTTGTCTTGATTTTCAGCATGTTATTTATGTGACAAAAGTATTTAATCCCCTTTTAAAATGCAGACAGCATTTAGATTTTGAAGACAGGGATCAAGCCCAGTTAGGTATCTACATCTATGTACGTTTCCAGATTGCTCTTCCAGGCCCCTTAGCAACACCAGGGTCAACGGCAGAGGCTTTTAAGATCAAAATTGCTCATTCGGAAAGATGACTTATGCTATGAGCTATATGAAAAATTGCCCAAAGATATAGAAACATCCATAAGGTATCAAATATTCCAGCTTTCTATAAGTCTGTTTTAGGTAGGGGTTAATCTGTTACATTCACATATGAATAAAACAGCAGTCAGAAAGGTAAAATTGAGGAAATGTGAAAGAATATCTAGGAATCCTTGCTGTGACTCCTGACAGAGTGAAGACATTCACAGCCAGATCTCCTTAGGGGTCACTCTGCCTTGCAGACAGTGACACCCACCAACAAAATATTGCCTAGGAGGAAAAAAAAATCCTTTTGCTTGATTTCCCCCCAGAAATCATAGCATAATTTAATAAAAATGCAAAATGCAATAAACAAGCTTAATTACTGCCAAAATGAAATGCCAAGAGAATTAGTCAGAGATCTTTGATATCGCTTACCATTCAAAGCTCATGGTAGGCTTTGCTCCCTGGCAGGCAGACCCTCAACCTTTCGCTTTCTTCCAGCTCCCAGCAAAGTTCTTGGGGAGCAGCAAGAGCAGCAGAACGGTCTGCTGAGACCTGGGGCAGAGAGGTGCAGGGCATCAGGCTCCCTGGGCTCTGGGGAAGGGCCAAGAGGCGACCCGGGGGGTGAAGCCTCTCCCTAAGCTCAGAGAGGGTATGAAGGTATCAGGGTGCCCTTCTTGTGGCTCCTGTCCCAGAAGAAAATATAGCCAGAACTTTTGGAAAATGAACAAGAAATCCAAGCGAATGTTGTCAGGACATACCCGGGCTCAGCCATCATCAGTTCTGGCTTCTGATGAATGTGAGATCAGGTAAAATTCTCCAGAATGGTTACATCACTTGATTGAGCTTACTGAAAACCCAATGAGCTGCCACTAGAAAATGCCCTTCCACAGTTAGGTTTGTATTGCTCATATATGGGCACGTGGCTACATATATGAACATATGTGCACTGGAAATGCCAAGTTGTCCTCAAAACCTCCATTCTGAGGTGAGCTGGACTTTGCAGTCAGCTGTTGATTCTTGGTTCAAGATGCACCATGCTGTGTGCTTTGCATTCCCCAGGGCATGTTGCTCCGTTTTCTTCTTTTTAATCTCAGATATTCCTTCTCCAAACAAGAAGATCCAGGCCCCTTTTCATGGATAACATATGTGAGTGAGGTATTTTTATGCTGAAGACACAAACTTTAAGTATTATGCAATAGAATACCCATGCGTCTTATCCTGAGGAAGTCCACCCACCACCCCAACACCCAGCAGAACATACCCTCCTGCAAGGTGCCATGGGCACGTGTCTGCTAGAAACCCCGGGCTGCATTTAGTGCTCATTGCCCATTCCTGCCATGCCCTAACACCTCTTTCTTTTTTCTACTTAGTGTCTGGACAGAGGAGTCTCAGTGCACGCTGCTCAACGCATCCATCACAGAAACCTTCAACTGCTCCTTCAGCTGCGGTCCAGACTGCTGGAAAATCTCGCAGTACCCCTGCCTCCAGGTGTACGTTAATCTCACCTCTTCTGGTCAAAAGCTCCTGCTCTACCACACCGAAGAGACAATGAAAATCAATTCTGAGGTAGGAGCACAGAGACAAAATTTCCATCCCCCTCCTCCTTCCCTGGCAAGGGATGTTTTATGGATGCACCTGAGTGCTGAGCCCTCATCACCCATATATTCCAAGGGAGCTGCAGACAAGTCACTTCCCATTCGGGTATGGCTCTGCAGTATATCTTAACCCCTCCAGCCATGTACGTGGAGCGTCTGTGGTGGGGAGAATAGAAATGGCCTTATTACTGTGGGACTGGGAGAGACAGAAGTCCCCGGGACTGATGTGGACGTGTCACCATTGCTGGTGACAAAACTGGTGTCCACACTAGCTCCAGCTCCACCACCAGGATCAGGCCACACAATTTATCCCTATGGAGGGCACAAAGACACTGATAGTCGGCCGGTGAGAGACTGTCAACATAAGAAGAGCAGCGTGAAAACGAAAGGCAGTTTCTGAGCTTATATAAATTAAGGAGTCAGACAATCTTTCTTGCATGATTTCTCTGGTACCAGACATGGCAATAAAAATTATTTTTAACAAATCTCCATAAAAAAAAAAAAAACTCATCTCTCTGCTTCAGCAAGTGTAAAATCCGACGTAACTTGATCCAGGTGGGGCCGAGGCAGCTCATGTCTGGAGGCTGTAATGAGCGGCGCGGTGCGCAGAAGGCGTCGCTTCCTCCAGCCTACAGGTGCAGCTGTGCGGGTGACGCACTGCCGCGTGCAGCACAACCGCCACGAGCTGCCGGCTGTTGGCGGGTGGCTGCTCGCCGCCTCCTACACAGCAGGACGCTGCAAAACGTCCCTTTTCCCGAGTCCTCCTCTTTGCACCTGGGTGCAAACGCTGCAGCCACCCCAAATCGGGCAGATTTCCACCCTCCAGGTCTGCATTAACTATGGAGCGCTCCAAGGTCGTCACTGAACCCCAAACTATAGGCACTGGCAAAGCGCAGCCCCGGCTGCTGACAGCGTAACCTGTCGCGTTGCTATTTATGGGAGCAGCTCCGCGGACCCAATTGCTTCTGCATATTAAGATGAAGTGATATGAAAATTAGTCAAAGCAGTGAGCGGTTTCACCAGGCCAGTTATTCTGCTGGATAATTAACTCCTGTGGCTGGTGCACAAAGTCCGCCAGAGCCAAACTGTGAAACCCAGAGCAGTGTCCTCACCTTCCTGGCCAGGCCTCAGCCAAGTGAGTCCATCTCCATCCGCTGCTGGATTTAAAGAAATCAAAAGATTCAGCCTAAATCTCAAAATTCCATTCCCAAAGTTTTTTGTCGCTGAAATCAACTCTGAAATTCTCCCCGGCACAGTCTCCTCTTAATTTAATGTAGGCACAGCTAATCCTTCTCCAGCCCAAGGTTGCTTTGCAGGTTAAGTGCTGCTCTCTGGAGGATTCCTAGGTTTTCCTGATGTGCTGCTGCCTATGTGCTCTGCATCTAAATGCAGTTTCAAAGGGAGCTCGGCCCCTGGCTGAAATGTCTATAAAATACCTGGTTTCTTGTGCCTGGCTGGAATTAGCAGAGACTCCAAACAAGTCTCAGCAATTTGCTCGGGAGGCCCTATCCTCCTCATGGCCTCGCAACAATATTTTCCATGCAATATCCAGGCAGGCAAATCAGGAACCCCCTCAGTTAACTGGTTATCAGTAGCTCTGATCCTGTCTCCATTTGTCATCAGTCTCTGATGAGAAACTAAAATATTACTCCCAGACATCAGTGAAGACCCCAACCAAGAGCTGGCTCCAATTGCAGATCCTCATTTCTTACCCCTCTCCCCAGGGAAAATGAAAAAAAAAAAAAAAAAAAAAGGGAAAAAATCAAAACCAACCACCATAGCCCATGTTGCTGAGCCCTCACATTCCTGGCAATACTGCAGAGAGTTGCCAGTACGAAAGACCTTCAAATGGGCAACATAATCCTGCCAACGTTTCCGTCTCGCAGCTCCTCACCCTGCGTGCAGAGCAGCACCTGCAGCCCTGCAGTCCCTCTCCGCTTCTTGTCACCAGCTCAGGTTGAGGGAAATGCACATTGATTTCAAATAATGATTAATCGAGAAAACCACTCTCTAAATTAAGGCTTTCTTCTCAAAAGGGCAGGTAAGGAGCAGGTGAGCTTTACGTTGAGATGTGCAGTGCGCTGCTGTCAGTCTCCAGCCTGAATCAATGGGACGTAAGTGGTTGCCAGTCAAGCTGCTTCAATCTTTCCCAGAAAAGCACACGAGATTTACCATGCGTCTTTGTTGCTCTCACTGTGCATATTTTATCTCTAGCCTTTAAGACGAGTGCAGCCCCTTGTCAATACTACAACCAGAGCAGTGTAAACGCTTTTCCTGCTGCACTCTCAGCTGTCAGAGGCTGTTAGGGCCACTGGGGAAAGCAGACGGGACTCGTGTCCCCTTGCTTGGAGACCATGGAGCCAGTTTGTCACGCTGAGGAAGGGCTGCAGTATTTAAAGCAGTTGTGAAGTGCTTGCTCTGATCCCAAACTACATCACTTTGATTCTTTACATGTCATTGGGGTTACTGCTGATTTATGCCCATGCTCCTTAAGTACAATAACAAGAAGGCTTTAATCACCAAAATCACTGTTATGCCAGCTATAACTGCCTGATATTCAGAAATGATGGTGGCATCTCATGATTTCCCACTGGAAGTTCAGGTATTTATAACCCAAAGAGCAGCTTGTCCAGCGCAGGTGGAGCAGCACTGTTCAGCCACAATTCCCAGCAGACACATTTCTGCATTGGGGTTGCAAGATTCAGTCTGTAGAAAGAAATACTGGGCAAATGGCAGACACAAAACTCCTCCTTCAGCCTGTAATCCAACCTGCTTCACTTCAGAAGAAGAAATGTAAGGCGAGGTCCTGGCCACTTTCTCATCAAGACTGCCACTGCATGTCTTATAAAAATACAAATGAGGTGTTTCCAATCCCCACTTCCAAGTTCAGCATGACAGTGACAAACACCCCAAGCACAAGGAGAGAATGAGAACCAGTGTATCACCTCTCGGCCTGAATTAGGGGCTTCTCTGTCAATAATGTTGTCAGCGTAACTTCACTGACAATGAAGCTGCTTCCACGTTCTCCAGAGATGTTGTAGGATCTCTATCCTTGGAGATGTGGGATCTCCATCATTATAAAATGGACATCGTATAGCATAAAAACAATATACAGAGATTTCCCTGCCATATATTGATGTAAACTAAATGAAGATCAAACCAAACAAAACCCTCAGAACATCTCATTACCAGTGTCTACCGTCCCTTCTGCTAATGACCTACCCAGCACAACAGATGCCAGCAAAAGCAAAGCCAGCATGGTGTCATCCTCCAGCTCTAGCTACAAAAGCCAGGTCCTGGAAGGAGGCCACGAGCACCTTGTGACCACAGCTTAACAGACACAGGCACTTTAGGAATGTGTCCTTGCATCAAGGACAAGGAAACCCTCAGAGCTATGAACAGCCACGAGTTCAGAAGAATAGGACGAGGTAATTAAGACATGGGGTAAAGGGGATCCATGTCTTATAAAGAGAGTAAAAGCCCATAGTATGAGGAGAAATGTTCTTATCACCAGATGCCTGGCTCACTGATAAGATATATCCAGCTCCCTTGCACAATTACCTTTATTAGCTTAGGTTTCTTTAAAACTTGCCGACTACTTATGGCCTAACTAGCCGGAGATACCTAGAGTCTCTAATACTATTAATGGACCCCAGTTCAAGTCCTGCTTGGGCTTTGATTCTCCTGAGATTATCTTTGGAAAAGACTTAGTCTGGCAGGAAGTCAGACCTTCCCAGTGCCCTCTTGGGATGTTTCCAGACTTTGAGTCCAGGAATCTGTCATCATTTGGAATTTTATGTGCCTGCAGTTTTCTGTTGCTGAAGAGAGAGGGGTTGAACTTCAGCAAAGACTAAGTCTTCATTTAATCCCCTCGCTCTGGTGTGTCACAGCTGGGATTTCAAGGAATAAAAATGTATAGCACCAAACTTGCAAAATCAAAAAAATCTGAGCTGGAAACACTGCGGCTAGGACAGTGATGGTGTATGATTTATCAAAATATATCGAACTACAGCTTCACTGAAAATTTCCCCCAGTTTATTAGATTATGATATATTAAAGAATAGTAGGGACTGGAAGAGGTCTTGTGGTTTCGGACACAAAAGACAAAGCTGGGCAGAGTTCAAAAGAACAGCCTGGAGGGAGCAGTCCTGCACCAGTAAGGGGATGGATGAGATACAGCCTCTCTGAGATTTTCCATCTCTAATTTCTAGAACTCTATGAAATATTCATAATGGACGTGCTGAGATGCTCTGCCCTTAATGCTACAGTCTGCTAATGCCAGACAGTATCTCTGCTGCACTTCAAATCATATTCCCAGCTAATAAACTTGCCAATGGATCAATGAAATCCTGTTATGAGGTTAATCCTGTGATCATTATTAGGGATAGAGATTTGTTGCAGTACATTCACATTGTGAAAAGTCACGGCATGGTCATGAAAAAGAACTGAGGGCCGTTTATAGAGTTTATACATTGAAACAATAATAATCGGAAGGCATGGGTCGCATTATTTTAACTAAGTCTTTTTTTCTTATGCAAAATCCGCTTTCTGTCATTAAATTATCTCAAGCTATTTTAGCAGCTCACCCAGCAGCAGCATGTTCAGCCATGGCAGTGTAGCAGGGACTTTTGATCAGCCCATCACTGCAAGAGAGGGGGGATCTACCCACTCCCTCTTTGCACGCTCAAGGAGAAGCCACCCAACAGATTCTACACTTGTCCTTAGACTGTTCTTGCATAGGTACAGGATTAAATCAAAATCCTCTTCAAGTATGGATACTTTCAGGGGTGGTGGTGGTGTGGTCAAAGACTGAGAGCCATTCGAGCAGTCAGGTTGATCTTCAACTAGAGGTATTTTTGTCTCAGATTTCCTGTATGACCCTAATTGAGATATTCCTCTCAAAGGAAAACTGTATATAAGTCACTGCCTGGCTTTCCTCTCGCTGAGTGAACTCTTTTGCCCAATATGATCATTTGATCATCTGCAAGTGAGATCTGAGCTACCAGATTCATATTTACAGACAGGCAATTACCCATCTAAACACGAAAATATGCCTGCCACTTCAGATGAAGAGGTACTTCATCAGATCCATTTTTTTTCATGTGTAAATTAGCAGTAATAATATATTCACCTATCTCATGAGGCTGTTCCACAGATTAAAGCATTAATGTTTGTACAGCACTTGGAGACTCTCCAATGAGAAATTCTGTAGATGTGCAAAATATTGAGTTTTGTCTGTGATAAATTTATTATTAGCCTAATGGAATTGCACTCTTATTATGAAAGCCATAATCATCTTGAGATGCTTACCACCTGAAAACAGACATTTTGTCTGGTCTGAAGACTCATTTTTTCCCTCTGCTTTCTTCCCAGTGCTCGTACATACCCAAGTGCGGCAAGAACTACGAAGAATCCATGTCGCTTGTGAACGTTGTCATGGAAAACTTCAGAAAGTACCAACGCTTCTCCTGCTTCTACGACCCTGAGGGTGTTCAGAAGAATGTGATATTAACTAAACTGTACAGCTCCAACGTGCTGTTCCACTCGCTCTTCTGGCCCACCTGCATGATGATCGGTGGGGTCGCCATCGTCGCTATGGTAAAGCTGACTCAATACCTTTCCCTCCTCTGCGAGAGAATCCAAAGGATCAACAGATAAAAGCAAAGACTTCTCCGAGATGTATTTACAGCTAAAATACTGTTTTCTCATTCTTCACCAAAGAACCTTAAGTTTGTAATGTGCAAGTCTGTTCTAACTTCCTTACTATATTCTTATAAGTAGAGCAATAATGCAACAGCTGTTCTATATGCAAACATGATGTTATTATTATGCAGACAACAGAAGAAAAGAAACTACTGTTTTGTGTTGACCGTCTGTATGATCTTGTTTTATGCTGAGAATAGTCCTTCTTTCTTTTCAACAGCCAAAATAGGGCTCAGTGTGACCATTTGCCAAGCTTAGTCAATGAATACATTGACATTTTCAATGTAAAGGATTCTGGGGAAAACTCACCCTTGGACAAAGAGCAGCAAATGACTTGTGCATCACTTAGGTCTCACATCTGATGCAGTCCACGCAACAGATCTGTGGTTTTATTTTTATTATTACTATTGGCTGCAGGGAATAAAAGCATAGAACTGACGCTTGTCTGTGAGCAGAGTGTGCAGAATAGCCCTATTTTGAGGCCAGTATAAGGCAGGAACAGTATTTGCAGCCTAAGCAGGACTTGGTGATGCCTTGTGTTAGTTTCCCCAGTTCAGAAGTCAATTTTACTCTTTGATGTTACGGTCTTCTGTTAAACATTGTTGTTTTATTTAGTGCTATATTTTTCTTATCTGATCAGCGTCATCTTTGTCACCTACAGAAGCTGTAGCCAAAAAAACAAAAAAAAAAAAACCATGTTGTTCCATTTTCTACTCCAATCTGAGCCCTATTGATGGAAATGGGACCAGAACACCTTATGTAAATGTTTATTACTCATTTGTCTTGTATTTGCTACCACATCACTGTAATGAAAAGAATAACACAATCAGCTATTTTTTCATTTTTTACTTCCAACTATTTTAGATTTTTTTACTTGATATATATACAAATATATATATATAAAGATAAAGCTATATTATATCTAGTTGTGTACTGGGACTTGATTATGATTTTTTTCCTTTATTTGTTTTTACCAACTGGAAAGTGAGCAGTATAACTCATGCATTTATAACCTCCAGCCTTGGATAACATCGTAACATGGAGGGGCAGCACTGCAGGATCCTATCCAATATTCATGATGTTTCAGTCAAAAGTCTCTATTGTTGTGACATCTGAATGGACAAAATCACATCCAATTTTATAGGTCTATTACCTGAACTGTTAGATAATAATCATAATACTTCTGGAAATCTCTCCTGACCTTAACCCAGTAAGCAGTGCTGGCTGAAGTGAATTTTTGATTTTAAAGGCCCAAGTACAACGAGTTATTGGAAAAACTCCAGGAATTCAGACTAATATGTTGTCCTGTCTGTCAGATACCTACAGTGGGAGTTTTCCCAGCAAAATTCCATGAACACTGTAGTCAATAATTTATTTATATTCCTTTCCTCAAGGCATTTCCTCTTATGTTATATTTTAAAGGTGCCTCTCATAATTTCTTATTTTGGACTTAGCCTCAATGACAAATGCAAGGCACTCTCTATGAGCGCCCTGTGAACTCGCAATCCAAGATTTCAAAGAAATTTACAGGCATATTCAAAACAAGAAGCAATTTTTTTTTACCTTCAAAAAGCCCACAAAACAAGTAAGCAAGTATTCTGCCTATTTCATCTATATAAGTACCTTTCTGCAATATAGCATTAAAAATTTCAAGATGTTACAAAACTTTACAAGTCATGCAAGTGTAATGTGAGCTGTAAAAAGGAGTTCTCAGCAGTGAAAATGAACCTGCAATCTTGTAATCAGTCATATAATTTTCCTTAGGTAAATAAATTCCTGGAGGGTGGGGGTATAATTAGGGCTCCAAAAATATGTAATAAATATATTCAATTAAATCTTCCAGATTTCACTATCTTTTGCATTCAGATTTGCCTTGTTTCATCAGAGTTTTCTTTGCAGATTGCTTTGCCAACTGCTGATGCAACAGGGAATTCATCAATTTTACTTGCAATGTGACCATTTACCCATCTGCGGGATGTACAAAAGCCATCAGTGGTGAATCTCCCGTTGTTGGCCAGCAAAGAGCCAAGGAATCCCCTCAGCAGCAGAGGCAGCATGGCCGGGGAGGACAAGCAGGAGCCACATTCTCCACCCCAACCCAATGTTATGGTGCTTCCATGCCATAAAAGGTAGAGGAATGTTAGAGCATGTTAGGATTAACTCCTTACTGTTCACCCAGGACTCAGACATGAAGGTCTCCACATTGCTCATGCCCATAGGTATTACAAAAGTATATTCCAAGAGGTTCTGCCCAGGCTGGAGGTATCAAGGTTAGGCCCCCAGGATCCCACAGCCAAGATATCTTGACCCATTTCTAGGCTTGTGCAGCCCGGGAGGCTCCCAAGTTGTATTTTTGCCCTTTCCCAAGCTTGGATCCAAGCTCCCAGGTGCCATCCCAAATCATCCTTCACCCACTCAGCACCTCATTGTCTTCAGCACCGTCACAGATGTTGAGGGGAGGCCAATGTTGGTCTGCAAATCAAAAACCACGCAAGACGTTGCTAGCAAAGAACTGCGATAACCAAGAGGCATCTTCACAAAGTCATCGGCACTAGTGTTGGCCATTGACACGACAAGTGACATGGCCTGTGATGCAGCAGCTCTATGGTCGTGCGTGTGACATTTGTGGTGCCTGTAGTGGTGCATTTTTGCTTCGAGGGACAGGAGAGCTGATTGCTCTCGACATTTACACATCGAGCGCTCTTTTCTACGTGTTGCACCACAAACATTTCACCCGCGATCCTGTGGGTGAAACATCTTGACGCCGCTGCAGTCTATAATCATTTTGTTGACATTAACAGAGAGATCTGCAGGGTAGCAAAATAACTTGAGTAATTGGATAGAGCGAGGTAAAACAATAATTTTAAAGGGAATTATCCATGTCTGCTCCCTAGCAGTTAACCCCCTACTGAAGCCTTAGCATTTCAAATGCGATTTTGACAACTCCTGCTGCCCCAGAGAGAAGACACGTCGTAGATGGGATATTAGTCTACGCTATTTCTTTCCCTGCCTCCGTTTTAAAACTGCTTTTATCTTCTGCAAAAGGAATTGATAATCTTGCGGGCAGCTCAAGTGAATGAGAAATATTCCCGCTCCATTTGCAGGGCTTCGTTAGTAAAACTCAGTGATCAGACAAATCTACGGTAATTCAGCAATTCTGAGCCTGACTCTCCCCAGCATAAACGTTTCATCTCCTGATATCCCTGCTGGGCAGCTGGGGTTGAAGGGGACAAGTAGCAGCCAGAAAGTGCTGTGAAACCTCTGAAAAGAAGAGCGTGAAATGAAAATGTAGGTGCAATAGTCTGCTGTATTATGAGCCTACGGCCAGGCACCCTGGCAGGATTTAAAGCATACATAAGTATTCCAGGTGCCAAATTCACATGGCCTTTTAATAGCTGTTATTTTCTTAATTAGATTATTTATGCCAAATCTTATTTCTATTCTGGAACATCTAAATTTGAAAGCGAAGTGTGAATATCCCTGCTGTAATTCCCTGAAACTTGGCACCTTGCAGTGGAGCTACTAAATGTCATCAGCCAAGACAACAGAGAGCTCCGTTTGCTTTAGCTTTTCTAAATGAGGAGACATGGCTTTTATCTCACAAAACGTACCTAAAGGGCAAGCAGTGGGAGGCTGAGGTGAATATAGGAAAGAGGAATCAGGGCCCAGGAAATAACAGAGCCTCCTTATCGCAGTAAGACCTAAAATACAATCATTTCAGACTTGAGGGAGAGAAAGGGGCATGAGAGTGTCAGCTCCCCATTAGCTCCTCTGCTCAGAATCTATCAAGGACATGCTACAAAACTCACATTTCTACTCCTCTGAGCATCCTGGATCTCATCACTTTCTAGTACTCTGTTTTTGATGTACACAAATATTTCATGAATGCACACCAACTTTCCAAAATGTCTTTGGTTGTGGAGAAGACGGTGAAAGCAAGAGAAAATATCAGTCATTAGTATTTTGGAGAAAAAAAAAACTGTTTTCATTTGAATTGCTTTTGGCTCTTAAAATTCAAGTTTTAGGGCTTTTTTTCCTTTTTTTTTTTTTTTTTTTTTTTTTTTTNTTTTTTTTTTTTTTTTTTTAGGAAAGCTTGAGAAATAGACAAACCAGTATCCTCTGATGTGAAACAAAACCATTGGCACTTGCTCGGTTCACTGCACGCTCCCAACCTGCCCTTTTTCTGAGGCTGACCTGTGACAGATTTCTTCTCTTCCACTCTTCTGAACTGCCGGTGAACTGCGAAACCAGTTGGTCACACAGATCCCATCAGCAGCAGCCCTGGCTGGGCTCCAGCGAGGTTCGAGCGATCGCCGCTTCCAAGAACATTAGTGGCCGTTATTATGAACAGAGTAAAGTTTCTGCCTCGAAGAATATAAAAAGCTGCTAAGCTGGAAGGCAGCGGGAAGGAGAAAAGGCACATTTATCAGCTGCTATTAGCTGCGTGCGGTGCAGTAATGTGTTAGATCTGCAATTTATGGCCAAGACACAACGTGCCAGGGCTGCCGCTGTCCCCAGTGCTTGCAATGCCAGTGCTCCGAGCATGGGCACGAGGACCTGGAGCAGCTGCAGCTCCAGCACACGTCCAACAAAAACAGCTTCATGACTTTAAACAAAAAAAATATTCAATTCAATGTTTTATTTCCACCCTCCAGTCCGGATTTCATTTTGAGGCAGAAAAGCAGAAGTCGTTTGAATCTTGATGTCTCAGAAAGAATTAGGGACTGCTGTAGCTTTTCATTACCTGATGCAGTTCTTCAGTTTGTGCTTGGAAATGTATTTACAACTTCGGGGAGGAGGCCTCAGTCCTGTATAGAGCTAGCAGCCCTTCATCATCATTACTGGTCTGATTGCCGTGCTAACAAGCCACTAATGAATCCCCTAAATCTCTAGCACACAGCGAAGGGCTCTTGCACGTGCAGCTCCCAGGTTCTGAGATGCCTAAAAGGAACCACAAGAAAACAGAAGGAAAGAGGAGTGATGCTTGCCCTGCTCGCTGCCTCCAGCCATTTGCCAGCTCCTCTCCAAACAGCTTTTCAGCAGAGACTCACAATTGCTGCATTTAAAAGCAATTGCATTTCACAAGGGATTCCTCTATTCTTTCAGAAATAATCTTAAAAATTCCTTTAAAAATATATAAATGAAAAATATTTTTTCATTTAAAAGGCAAATGCTGCAAGGTGAATTCATATCAGTTTCCAAAATGAATCAGATTTCAACCAGACACTGGAAAAAGTGTTGAATAACAGGACCCTCCAAAAGAGCCCACATACCTTTCACCTTAGAGCTCTTTTTTCACATAGGTAGCTTACAGTTGGAAATACATTTCAACTGAAAAATATTTGGGGAGAACTTAGAGCTTTTTACCAGTCAGTAATTTTTTATAGCATAGAGGGCAAAAAAAAAGTGCTGCAAACTCCAAATTTCATTTTTACTAAAGGGTTGGCATTTTCAGGCAAGAGAGTAGCAAATGCCTCAAAAACTGTATAAAGACAGAGAATTTGGGCAAAATGCCGCTTGGGCCTTATTGTCCAGTAAAGTTTTGTTTGCTTCAGAAGTTCAAGAAAAATGGGTGGAAAGTAAAAGCATTGTCCAGAAGACATCAAATATTTATAAGAAGGTCAGATTTATGTGAGCAGACAAGACGAGTTCTCTCTGATACTGCACAGCAGGGATCAGCCACTACGATAGGAGGTAAAGAATTTTTGATGACTTCTTCTTTCAGGAGAGAAAGAATAGCAGGAAGTGAGAAAATGCTGATGGATCAAATCGGAATGCAGTATTTTCCATCTGTTCTGTGTTTCTGATGCATTTC